GTAGTGATACTGCCTCGGAAACCCAAGGAGGGGTCGCTGTGAGTCGGGTCCGACTCGACGGCACGTAACAACAACAACAACATTATATATATTAGTAGCATGCTTTTCAAATTCAAAAAGGACAACTTAGACTTTGAAGAAGATAGATGCTGTTACAAAATTAAGTGTAACAAATGTGAAACACAATCTAATACTTCTTGCTGAATAGTCAATCGTTTAAGATTGCTTAATATATAAAGATTACCTATCTCCCTCCATTTGTAATGTAAATCAGTTTAGCCAAATCATTTAAATTTTATTTTCAACAATCTGGGTCTCTAGTCATATTTACAATGCTAATAATTTTTAAAAAATTTAAGTATTATTGCACAAACTGGTAAAAATCTGAATGAGGAGAAAAGTAAATCACAGTCCTAACATAACACCTTTTCATTTTTCTTGTGTGAAATGAAATTAAAAATAAACATCTTTACTTTGATTTCAAGGGGTCTCTCTTATCCACTAGCACAAAATTAAGAATCTGACTCCCAAAAAACCTGTAAAACTATTGCTTTTTTCCCACCAGGAACTGCTAAACTACTTTGTAGCATTGTTAGTTTGTTTTTTCCAGCTTTAAGGAGTGTTAATAATAAGTAAAGTGAGTTCCAGTTTAACACAATGGTTAAATCTTTACAAACTCCTTTGTGATAAAGACATTTAATAACCATAAGCTAGTTTAGAGTTTATTTACTGCAAAGAATGTAATTTTTGATAATTTCTCTTTCTTTCTTAGAGCTGAGGTGGGGATCATTTTAAAACCTCCAGGCTATATCTAATGATTTGTACAACTGAATGCCTCCCCCAACTCCAGGCCAGAGACCACCCAGTATGAGATTACCTGATGTCAGGCGATCTCAGTAAGGGGGCAGGGTTCAGTCAATAAGATAAGCCAATAGTTGATTTTCTATTCTTCTCCCTACTCTTCTTTTTATAAGCTTCACTGTATTTTTGTAAAGTACATTGTGTCATTTGTTCTTTTTAAGAATCAGAATGGTCTCTCTATATGCATATGTAATAACTACTCAAATAAACCCTGTTTTAATTTCTTTGTGGTTTTGTAATGCCTCTGTCTTTATCCCAAAGCAATGGTTTATTTTTTTAAATATCATATTGCTGCTGCTGTTGATACTGATATACAGATTTATGGATTCATAAACTCAACTGTGACCTCGCACATTTGCTTCTAACAAGCTACCCCTTACACCAAGAAAATGAAACTTGTTGCCTCAAGTAGATTCTGACTCACAGTGACCGTATAGGACAGAGTAGAACTGCCCCATAGAGTTTCCAAGGTTATAAATCTTTATGAAAGCCGATTGCCATATTCTTCTTCCGCAGAGCGGCTGGTTAGTTTGGCTGGTTAGCCTTTCAGTTAGCAGTCGTGCCCGTAACCACTACACTATCAGGATCCTTTAGCTAACTCCTTAAAGACCCATAAATTAAACTCCTTTTTAACACTGCCTATTAAATTATAGGAATGAGCGTATATTTAAATGAGTAAATATACTATTATCCTGAAAAGCATTAGTACTCTACTAATCCTAAAAGTAATATAGGAGAAGTGATACAATTGAAAATCATATTTGGCAACTCCTAACGAACTACTGACTTGGGAAAAGGTTATCAATCTGTATTAAAAACATTAGGTAGACGGTTGAAAAAGAAATGGATATTCAAATGTACTGATGCTATACTGCAGATCACTTCTCGTCTTCAGAAGAAAAAACAAAAAAACAACTCTACAATAGTGGAATCAGAATGATAATCATCCCAAACTAACAATCAACCTTGGTGTCATTAACAGGGGAAAATCGGAAACTGAATTGTTTCCTGATGTGATGAGACATAAACTACACAGCATCATCAATAATGTATTCTGAAAATAACACGCTGCACTTGAATCTAATTTACACTTTCCAGCTAACTTGCAGTTTACAGCAATATTGAAAATAAAGCAACATATTAAACAACAACATATGGATGCCATTAGAGAGATCCATAATAGCAGATTTTCAACAGAAAAACTAGCCAGATTCTTTGTTAAATCAATGTTATGTAGAAATTGACTATTCTAGATGAAAAGAGAATTGAGGGACATTACAACTAAAAGCAATGTCTGCCCCTGGACTGGATCCTGGTTTTAAAAAACCACATATAATGGGTATGTTTAAGACATTTAGGGAAATCTGAATACGGACTGCTATGATGTCTGTAACCTACTTTAGAATACTTCAGCATTTAAAAACAAAAATGGTTTTAAAATACAAAGATAAATGAAGAGGATAGGAAATAAAATTATATTACCCAGCTATAATCCAAAACTCTTCCAAAATGTCATTAAATAGGGTTAACAATTCATAATCAATGTTTTTATTGTTTTTCCTTCCTAAACTAGGACTTTAAATAGAATATGTCAATTTTCAAAAGATTTGGTAACTTACCCCTGGCATATATTCCATAAATATGGAAAGTGTTTTTTCCTGGGGATCCCTCAAACAACCATAATATTGAACAATTCGCTCATGCAGCAAGTTTTTCAACAACTGAATTTCACACTCAAGTGCATTCACTTCCTGAAAGACAGAATTCAGTATTAAGTCTTTGCAACACTGCTAGAAAAAGAAAAAAATTCCAATTTCACAAACCATCAGTGATACCATTCTGAAACTTACTTCCTGTGAAATAAACATTTTATTGTCCCTAAAACAACATTTGGGAGCTCTGGTAGCATAGGGCCTAAAGCTGGTGGTTCAAACCCACCAGCCACTTCTTGGAAGGAAGGTTAGCCAATTTACTTTCATAGCAATACTGCCTCGGAAACCCAAGGAGGGGTCGCTATGAGTGGAGTCCGACTCGACAGCACATAACAACAACAACAAAACAACATTTATAATTCCTGATAATATCCTGAAAAGTAGGAGTTTAACTGACACACAGAAAAAGAAAAATCCACAGCACATTATAGATAAAACATATCTAATTGTCTATTTTTTATTTCAATTTGTATTTGAGTGTGTGTTATATTCTTTAGTAAAGATGCTTCTTATAATGTGACAAAGCAGTTTGTGCAGTGATTCTTACCTTGCTGGTCTCAGGGCTTTCGGGGTCAAATTGAACTTGTTTAACAGCCAATTCTCTTCCTGTATCAACGTCATAACAGAGGTAGACCCTGCCAAAGGCTCCTTGGCCCAGAAGTTTGCCCAGTCTCCAGTTGGTTGGAGCACGAGGTGCTGAGAAAGAATACTATCTTAAAATGGAATAGTTAGATGGCACACAAATGGTTAAGAACTAAAAGAGAATATTTAATTAGAGATACTGTTAATTGAATATGCTTGGATACAAGGGAAAATCATGATCATCTGAGTTCAAAATAGTTACCAGTTTTCAAAGTAATATTTTCTTTTTTAGTCAAAGAATTCTAAATCCTAGGAAGGTTCACAGCCCCATGACTCATTCTTTTCCAATTAAATTTTTTATTCTTCTCACTGAATCCAAATACCAGTGATTGTAACATGTACAAGGCCTACTTCAGAGATAATGTGAATTCAGTTGCAGACCACTGCAATAAAGCAAGTCACACAATTTTTTTGGTTTCTCATTGCATATAAAAGTTACGTTTACACTATATTGTAGTCTATTAAGTGTCTAATAGCATTATGAATAAATTTGAAATATTTTGAGAATTACCAAAACATGACACAGAGACATGAAGTGAGCATGTGCTGTTGGAAAAGTGGTGCTGACAGACTTGCTTTACACGGGGTTGCTACAAATCTTCAATTTGTAAAAATCACAGTATCTAAAAAGCACAATAAAGTGAAATGTGATAAAATGAGGTATGCCTGTACTATTTCTAATATTCACTGCAGCAATATATATAATGTTTTCCAGCTTCCACTGCCAATGATAAAAGTTGGAAAGAGCATCATCTGCACTCTAATAACAAGAGAAAGTTGGATAATCTACACAACTGTAACTTTTCTCAAACCTGTTAGAAAAGTGAGAATGCTGGGCAACCAACTTGCCTGAAATCTAAGGAAAGACAGGCAGGAACAAGGGCAGGATCACTGAGAAAGCCTATCTCTGAAAACCAGGACATAGGCAGGCCTGCCTAAGACTGAATAAAGCTTGACCAGGATAACAGAGAGTAGTCCCATGTGCTAGGCTAACAAATAACAGCAATATATTGTTGAAGGAGAGGCAAGGACACAGAAGACGACCCACTCACAGGAAGTGGCACACAAGGCAGGCCAAAAGCTAAAGGTGGAGTGGGATTATTGAGAATAATGTTCTGGAAGTAACCTCCATCCTTAGAACAAGGTAACTCTAGAAGAATTTGAACTCAGTGGAATATGGAGACTATAGCAACAATAAAATTCAAACTAAGGTCAACTCCTGACTGTTGTTGTTGTTATGTGCTGTCGAGTCAGCCCTGACTCATAGTGACCCCTCCTTGGGTTTCCGAGGCAGTATCACTACGGAAGTAGGACTGCCCAACCTTCCTTCCGAGGAGTGGCTGGTGGGTTTGAACCACCAGCCTTCTGGCTAGCAGTCAAGTGCCTTAGCCACTATGCTACCAGAGCTCCCAATCATTATTAGAAGGAATCATTCTGTTTCTAAGCACAAATATTATTTACCACAGATTCCTTGGTACTACACATAATATCTAGTATCTGATATAAAATGATATAACACAAAAGAGTAAAAACCAACAACAACAAAAAAACCTATCAGGGACAAAGCAATCAATAGAACCAGACTCAGAAGTGACCCAGATGCTTGAACTTTCAGACATTCTGGTAGCGTAGTGGTTAAGGCACTTGACTGCTAGCCAGAAGGCTGGCGGTTCAAATCCACCAGCCATTCCTCAGAAGGAAGGTTGGGCAATCTACTTCTGCAGTGATACTGCCTCAGAAACCCAAGGAGGGGTCACTATGAGTTGGATCTGACTCGATGGCAAATAACAACACCACATGATCAACATGTTAAAATCTCTCAAGGAAAAGGTAGACAACATAAATGAACAGATTGAAGATTTCCACAAAGAGATAGAAACTACAGAAACAATCCAATCGAAATCCCCAAAATTAAAAAACGAAACAAAAAACCCCACAGAGGTAAAGAATGCCTTTTACAGGTTCATGACAGACATGACACAGCCAAGAAAAGAATCAGTGAATCTGAAAATAGAAATTCTTCAAGCTAAAGCACAAAGAGGGAAAAAAAGTTAAAAAACAAAATGAAACAAAACAAAAACCAGAACTGTGGCACGATAATAAATAGTCTAACATACACATACACTACAACCTGCAAAAGCTGTTACCTGTGTAAGGCGGAAATCTGTCAAAGAAGAAAACTCAAATATTTTCCAGTAAAAAGATTGCTGTTGTTGTTATGTGCTATCGAGTCGGACCTGACTCATAGCGACCCCTCCTTGGGTTTCCGAGGCAGTATCACTATGGAAGTAGATTGCCCCATCTTCCTTCCGAGGAGTGGGTGGTGGGTTTGAACCACCAGCCTTCTGGTCAGCAGTCAAGTGCCTTAGCCACTATGCTACCAGAACTCCTACTAAAAAGATTACTTCAGCATAATAAGTATTCTCTGAAAGTCATTACCTATGAAATATGGATAAAACAGAAAATTCTTAGCATTGCAACCTGCGGTGTAGTAAATTACCTGGTATGCCTTTTCTAGCCACAAGTCTTTGTAACCTCCACGGTGGAATATGCTGTGAGAAACTGAGGAGCTTCTGATTGTTAAAATCATTCATCTGGGGTATTTCTGTTGGGTGCAGCACAAAGTAATATTCTGGGAAGTTTGCTGTCTCTCAGGTGCTTAGAATTCTGATGTTATGATTGGTTAGTTTGGCCATTCTGCCGGGCTCAAAAGGAGGCCTCCTAGAGGCAGAAGTCTCTCTGACTGCTGGATGAGGAAAACATGCTGTTGAAAGAGACACTCACTCCTGAGAGACACGCGCTGCGAGGAAAGAGATGCAAGAGACACGCATTGCCGAGTGAGACACCGAGGGACACACACTGCTGGTAGAGAGACTGTGAGAGACTGCTGGCTGAGAGATGGCAGGCTGGGAAAGAGACTGAGCGTTTTTCCTGAACTTGAATTGTAGCCTGGTGCTTCCCTAATAAACACCATAATCTGTGAGTTCTGTGTGGCCACTGCAGTGAATGGTTGGTGTTAGGGGTGATGAAAGGGCTGGAGGGAGGCAGCATGTCTGGCCTGGCAGGAATAAGGCCTTGGGCTACTGATGGTGATTCTGTCTTTCTCTTGTGTGGTTAGAGGAGATCAGAAAATGCAGCCTCCCTGCCCTTTTAGCACAACCCGAGTAAGCACAAATACAAAAGCCAGAAATAGTTCTAAGAAGTGCAAAAGTCAGAGATGGAAGGCTCAGTCTTACACTTCTTGTATACTGTGAATGTGTGTGAATGTGTACTGTGCATCATTATCTCTGAGTACTTAACATTTTTGCCATTTTTGTTCTTTTCTTTGCCTATAATTCTTTTCCAGCAAAGAACGTCCATAAGTTTAGAACAAGGTGAGGTTACTAATAAATCCCTTTTTTTCCATATTAATCTAGAAAAGGACGCTTTTTTCCCTGTCTTGAGAGGCTTCACTCTTCCCGTTATCTTTAAATTTTAGCTTTTGCTTTAGCTATTTGTAATTTGGATATACATTACTACAATGTTCAAAATCTATTCCTTCATTTCCTTGAAATTCTTTCTTTCAAACTTTCTTGTTTTGCTCAAAAAATAGGCAAGGATTTCCTCATTTAGCACATTCAGTGTGTGTACAAAAACAAATTCTTCTCACATTCTTTTTCTGAAATATGTTATTAAACTGTGCTATTTTTCCTGTTTTTTGAGATATTCACTTTTTTTGAGAGAATACGATCATAACTTCCTTAATTTTTATAAGAACTTGTTTCCTTTACAAAAAAAAAAAAAAAAAAAAAACACCCAATTCCTTCACAGCCATGGGCAATAGACTGAGAAATTTATCTCTGAGAGAAAAGTTTTATGTTATCAAAATGACAACTGAAGAGAAAAAGACCATTAAAGAAGGTGTTATTAAGTTCAGGTGCAACAAAATGCAAATTTACTCAATTATTATGAAAGAAGCAGATAAAATAATTTAAAAATACACAAACATCACCAACATAAACATCAGGAAGAGATGGAAATTATGCAGAAATCAACAAATCTGTTTTTGAGTGGCTTCTTCAACTCTCCACCAAAAATGGTCCCATTTCAGGACCTACAAGCAAAGCTGAATGAAAAGGATGAAATTTTTAAAAGCTGATGGATTCCCAATATCTAACAGGTGGCTTCAAGGCTTTGAAAATAAATAAATGAATAAATATGGATCACTTGTAATGTAGCTTATGAGGAGTCAAATGAGGCTGAAAAGATGTTTTTCAAAACTGACTCATGATGAGACTTCTGGCAAGATGGCAGAACAGGCACACAAGCTACACAGAACCTCTGCAACAAAGAAATAAGAAACAAATAGAAACATACACAGTTAGTAATCATGGAACCCTCAGTTTCGAAGGGAAGGATTAAGAAGTAGACTAAGTATGAACTAGAAGCCCTGGTAACACAGTACCTAAGGCATTTGACTACTAACCAGAAGGCTGGCAATTCAAACCCACCAGCCACTCAATGGAAGGAAATTGGGCAATCTACTTCCACAGAGATACTGCTTCAGAAACTTAAGGAAGGGTCGTTATGAGTCAGGATCGACTTGATAGCAGTGAGTTTGGTTTACTAGAAGAACCTTAATAAAAACAGTGAATAAAGAGACAAACGGAGCTGTCAGCAGTCCTGACAGCACAGCTAATTTCAATATTTACAAGCAGTGATCTGATCCAGGCAGCAATATAAGAAGAGGCTCCACTTGCCAAGGACAGTATAGGCAACTGCACTGGAGGCTGACAATCCAAAAGGTGAAATATTCCTCTTGTTACTCTTGTACCCCACACTCTATTGGTGAATGGAGGTGTGGCCACCCCCGCCTCCACCCACCTTCAGGACTGGCAGGAATTCTATCCTGATGTGTGTGCCCTAACTGAACCTGGGTGGCCTGTCTCCCCAAGTTTTATTTTTGTTTGATTTTGAATTGTTTTTTCTTCCTCCTTTAATTTTTTTTATCTTTCCCTTCCCTGGTTCTTGTTTTTGTTGTCTCTTTCCTTTTCCTGGTTCCATTCTTCTTTCTTTCTTTTCTTCTTTTGCTTCTTCCCATTCTTGTTTTTCTTTTTGCAGTTTTCTCATTTTTTTCTTCATTATATTTTTTCTCTCTTTTCTCTTATTCCTCCCCTCCTCAGATAGTGTGGGTTTTTTTTTTTTTTTCCTCTTTATCATTCATTTGTATTTTTTGAATTTTCAAAAACTTTCCTCTCATTTATTACTTTCATTATTATTATTTATGTATTTGCAATTGTTCCTGTTTATGTGGTTTGTGTTTTTCATTTTTTCTGGTGGATTTTTGTTTGTTTTCTTGTCTGATTGAGTGGGAGACAGCAAACTTGCCCATAAGATCCAAACATACCAGCACCTCCTGCAGATGAAGAAAGCCTAAGGTTCATGTGGGATACCATCAAAAGGAATTCTGTGATCAGAATTCCAGAACAGGAAGAGACGAATAAAACCACAGAGAAAATCATCAAAGATTCACTGGAAGAGAATTTCCCTAATACAATGAAAAGAAGATATGCATTTAAGAAGTTCACTGAACCTCAAACAGGATAGACCCCACAAGAAAATCATTGAGACATATCATAACCAAACTCACCAAACCCAAAGACAAAGAAAACCTCTTGAAAGGAGCACGGGATAAATGAAAATTTACCTACAGAGGGTAATAAGACTACCCCAATAAGACTAAGCTCTGATTTCCTGGCAGAAACCATGCAAGTGAGAAAGCAGTGGGATGATATAGATATAGATGTAAAACTCTGAAAGAAAAAACTGTCAACCAAGAATTATATACCAGTAAAATTGTCCCTCAAATACGATAGTGAAATCAGGACATTTCCAGACAAACAGAAATTAAGGGAATTTGTTAAAACCAGACCTCTTTTACAAGAGATGCTAGAAGGAATTCTTCGGAAAGAGAACCAAGAACAGCAGACAACAACCAATGATTAATACACATGACAATATAACCCAGAAACCAACCAAGTTACAGAAATATCCAAAGACAACATAACCCAGAAGCCAACCCAGTTACAGAAGTATTCAAAGTAAAATAAGCTTACAGGACTATAAATAGAGAACCAGAGACATCAATTCATAAACGAGGACAACTACAATACAAAAAGAGGGAATAAATGGTGTAGGTACAGAACTTCCATATGGAGAGAAAGTAAAGACACTTGCAAGATAGAGCAGATTGTTCTGAACTTGGGAAGAAAAGTATAAACCACAGGATAATCTTAAAGAAAAACAGAAAGCCTTCTCATATCAAATTGAAAAAAGAAGAGAGGCACAAATATTTAGCAAATACTGAAACAGTAACAATGAAGGAAATGGTAACACAACTCATAAACAAAATGAGCTCAGCACAGAAAATTATATATGGAACAATGTGATAGTTGGAGCTGTGTGTCAACTTGGCTGGACCCCAGTTCTGTGTGGTTGTTCCCATGATGGGATCGGATGACTGTGTTCTGAGTGGCCAATCTGTCAAGGGGAGTTTCCCTAGGGGTGTGGCCTGCTTGCAGGATATCCTGGAACATCCTGGGAAGAGAGACATTCTTCTGTGGATCGGGATTCTGTTGTGCTGCTTACAACTTTCCGTGAGTGAGCAGTCCACCATTTGGCCTGGAGATCTTGGATTCGTCATTTGTTGGAGTCAACAGCCACTGTACTGCTTACCAGCCTTGAGCTTCTCGGCCCCCTGCGGTTGCAGAGGCTAAGAAAAGCCTCCAGCCTGACCTTTGCTCCAGGGACTTTGGACTTGCCGGCTTCTATACATTTGTGAGCCATTTTCCCAAGAAAAATTTCTCTCTCTCTTAACTCTCTCTCTCTCTCTAAGCTTTGCTGGTTTTTGTTTCTCCAGAGAACCCAGTCTAACACAAACAAAGAAATCAGCAACACCACAAAAAAACACATAAAATGACTGTAAAAATTCATACTTGTAGATAATTACACTGAATGTAAATGGATTAAACACACTAGTCAAGAGGTGGAGAGCTGCAGACTGGTTAAGAAACCATGACCATCAATATACTGTCTACAAGAGACTCATATTAGACACAAAGACAAAAATAGACTAAATATCAAAAGTTGGACAAAGATATACCAAGCAAATGGCAATCAAAAGAG